TTACAAATTTTTTTTTTTTTTTTTTTTTTTTTTTGCAAATAAAACACAAATTAGGCATTAACAGCGTGAGAATAAATATGGGGAAATATTGTGACAAGGCATAGAAAAAGGTCAGTTCGAATTCTCCACATTTTACTAATTTTTTTTCGTTTGGAAAATTGTTGCTAATCTAACATTTCAAAATGTATGGTATTTAATATTTAAGTAATTATAAAAAATATGGTCACCATTGCTACCAAATAAATTTCAGAAATTACAAGGTTATGTGTTATGTGGAATATAAAACGTTACGAACTCTACTTAGCAAAAAAGAGAGAAAAGTTCCCTAAAAAAAAAAAGAAAAAAAAGAGAGGGAGAGAGAAAAGTTGTTAGATGTGCAAGAGAACATTTAATCTCAAATATTTTTGTTTTGCATTCTATTATAGTTATTTTAAAGATTACATTCTTGTTTTTAAGAATTCGTTCATGTGGTATAAAAAATAATCCACATATAAAGTATTATTTAATCAATTAAATTTTTATTGGTGTAATTAAGTTTGCATATTTTATGTATTTTATTATTTGATGTTATTTTTACCAAATTTGTTGTTAAAAAAACATACACCATTATCCATTAATGAGAATATCTTACTGCATGAAGCTCCACCTCCACGTACTTATATGAAAGTGATGAAAAAAATACTGTACTGAAAAGTTTTTGCTTTAAACCATCAAATCTGCATAATATAATTTTATTAGTTTTACATTTTTTTTTATTTTGATATGATTTCCATCAGACTTAATATTTATAAAATACAATGAACAGGTACTCTTACCATAGAAAACTACTAAATAGTAATTTTTTTTTTTCTTGAAGTTCACTTCAGCATTTATTATATTCAAACAAAACAAGATGTTACCAAACAGAAAAATGGATCACTCTACGAGTAGTGTAAATAATTAGCGCCTGTGTTGTTATAAAGTTTGGACGGTCCAAATCAATAATTTACAAGCTATGCAAATAAATTTACATCCCTTTATGGAAACGACAAAAAAAAAATGTCTAAACTGTTGAACCATGAGGTAAGCTTTGGCCGAAACAGTGAGTTTCACTGTGCAAAACAGAAAAGAAGAGTTTAGTAATAGTACTAGTGCCACTGCCTTAAAACTAGCTCAGCGGGCTGTGTGTACGGTTGCAGCACGTGCATTGGGACCGAAACCCAAAGCCAAACTGTCACTCCTACGCATACAATAATAATATTGTGCATACAATAATAATATTGTGCATACATTTTTTTTTTTTTTACCCCAAAAGGTGAAAACAAATTGATAGACGACCTACCAACTTTCATTAAAATACTTGCATAAGAAAAAATAAAATTGCACCAAAAAGAGTAAATAAATGGATAAACATGTCATTAGTAGTAAGGCTCGGTAAATTATAGCGTATAAGTCTCGAATCATTACTTCTTTCAACTACTAGGATCGAAAAAAAAAAAAAAAAAAAAAAAAAAAAAAAAAAAATCTTTCTTACATTAGGCACTAAATTTGGTGATGATAAGTGGTTACAAATATAATTTAGCGCTAATTCTGCACATGATTTCACCATAAGATAAAGAGTTTAAATCCCACCGTTTTTAAGTTTAAAAGAAAAAAATGTGAGAGATGTCGTATAAATTCAAATATTGAAAGTTATTGGAAAATGTTTTTACGCGACTATATTATCAGTTTTTTTAGCATTAATGCTCCTAGGGATGGTAATCATATTTTTATAAAAAATTTGAGATTTTACAATGAGATGAAAAATTACATTACCAATTGTGTGTGTGTGGGTTTGTTTGTTTCTTTTTTTTTTTTTTTTTTTACCGTTACATCTATATCAATTATATATTTTTTTCATTTTTTATTTCATCGTAACTTATATCAAATTTAATATTATGAAACATCACAACAATCATAAGATAACCTTTTACTCTATGGCAGAAACTAGGACGTTAAAAAATTCCCTAAATAATAATCTAGGGAGATAAAAATTTGATTATTGTACGGATGATAAGAAACTTAGTCACGTGAGGGTGATGTGAGACTTGACTTAGGGGCAGTAATTAGTTGACCTGGTATCCCAAAAATTTGATAAAGGATTAATATTAAGTGGTGATGATTAGTGGCACAGATCCCGATTAACTAAGCCAATAAAAACAGTACATTATTGCTGCTTATAACAAAGATTTTGAGTTTTGGCTTAGGAGAGAGAGAGGATATATGTTGGTGGTAAAGGAGGAAAAGTCACGTGGAAGCGCCTGTAATTGGGTTTTGGGGGGTGTTTTTGGCTGTGCCGGGAAACGCGGGGCCTTTTTCTCTGTGGCGTGGCTCTCTCACCCCCATGTGCCCCTCCAGATTCTCCCCCACATGTACTCCCACAAACTTGATACTATTTTTCACTCTATTTTCACCTAAAATCTAAAAAGCAACTTCACTCTCTACGCAAACTAAAAAAATAAAATAAAGTAAAACTCGTAATATATAATGAGAGAAAATTTTACAATCAGATCACCGTATTGAACACCACTGAAAGCTCAGTGATGTTTGGTAGATAGATTCGTTTCCTGATTCGAATCATGATTCGTGATTCACTACAGTATTTTCTCTCATAAAAAATACACGTAAATTAAAAATGATTCTAATTACATGGTTCTAATCCATGAACTTTGATTCTTTTACATGATAATAGGTAGTGGAACCAAATACATGTAAATAATCATAATCATGAGTAGGTTTTCCATACGAGGTTTCCATGGGTCTCTTGCCTCCTATTGCAGCATATGGCAACCGGTTGATGAGATGACTCACATACATCACAGCCTCAACCGAAAATGCATTTCCTAATCCAGTATTAGACAACATACAAGGAACTTTCTCGAGCAAAGTTCGTTTCATGCATTCGGCCACCCCATTCTGTTGCGGATTTCTTCTTACTATGAAGTGTCAAATGATACCGTCATCTTGGCAGGCTTTCGCAAGAGGATCGCCGGTATACTCTGTACCATTGTCAGTTCGAAGTCATTTGATCTTTCTGCCAGTTCAATTTTCAACCATATTTTTCCACTTAAAGAAACGATCTAACATTTCATCCTTAGTCATCATCATGTACACCCAAACTCTTCTTGAAAAGTCATCGATAAAAGTGATAAAATAGTGCACATCTCACAAGGAAGTCGTCTTTATGGGTCCCCATACGTCAGAATGAACATAATCTAAAATACCTTTTGAATTGTGGATCTCATACCAAACTTCACTTTTAATTGCTTTGCAAGAACACACCGCTCGTAGAATTCCAACTTGCCTGTCTTGGCTCCTTTGAGCAAGCCATGCTTCACCAAATTCTACGAAGCTTTCTCACCAGGATGTCGTAGACATATATGTCATAGTCTGGTGATCTCATAATCTTTGTCTTCCTTAGTAATAGTAGTCGTCATTTCGATAACTGTACTACCTTAGAAATAGTGCAAGTTATTCTTCCTAATGCCTTTCATTACCACCAGTGTGCTAGAAACAACTTTAAGAATTCCATCTCGCATAGTCACAGTGAAGCCTTTAGATCCCAAGACTCCCAAAAAGATGTGATTCTTCTTCAAGTGTGGTACATACCGAACATCAGTCAGAACCTTCGTTGATCCATCATGGCACTTCAAGTGGATTGAACCTATCCCAGTTGATTGCAAGGCGTCATTAGTGCCTATGTTAACAACACCTTCATTTAGCTCCTCAAAATTGAAGAACCACTCCTTGTTGGAACACATGTGATAAGTACAACCCGAATCCATAATCCACTCGTCATACTGAGATTTTGACAACGTGCTAATCAACACAAATTCTGACTCATCATCTTCATACTTGGCTATACAGGCATCTTAGGCTGCATCTAAAACGACTTTTCCCTTATCTTTCTTCTTCAGATTTGGACGATCTTTCTTCTAGTGTCCTTTTTCATTACAAAAGGCACACTCGTCTATAGCAGGTCTACCCTTCTAATGAGATCTGCTCCTCTTCCTGGGTTTACGACTTTGCGCACGACCTCTAACAGTGTAGGCTTTACCTGCTGAAGTACTTTTATGTTCCTTCTGGTCCTTCTTCCAGATCTCATTATTGTATAAAGCAGCACATACTTCATCAAAGGTAATCTTATCCTTTCCATGAAGTATCGTGGTGACAATGTGATCATATTCACTTAGAAGAGAAGTCACGAATGACTTTATCCTCATCTTTGATAGATTCTTCAATATTTAACAACTCAGCTATCAACATGTTAAAATCTGAAATATCGTTATACATAGTTGCACCTGGTTGATACTGGAAGCGAAATAACTTTTTCAGGTACAATTGATTCGGTCAGCTTTTCGTTAAGAAGTTCTTCTCCAGCTCCTTCCAAAGTTTACTTACAGAGGTCTCCTTCATATACAGAAACTTCAACTCCCTGGTGAGACACGAACGGATTGCTACGCAAGCATTTCAATTAATATGATCCCATTTCACGGCATCCACGTACGACGGCTTACTTTCTTCAAGATCAAAATCAAGCTCTTGTTGATAAAGAACATCCATTACCTCGCATTGCCACATACTGAAGTTGTTGGATCCATCAAATTTTTCCATGTCAATTTTAGCATTTATCAACACTGTTCGAGTCACTGATGTCGAAGTCCTCAAATCGATGGTGCGGTTGAAGCTACCGATGGAACCGTAGTTGTCGTCGGTGTTGCTGAAGAGTCTTGGACCAATTCCAACTAGCTACAATCTCTACGTGGAAATAAACCATGCCGAGCGGCAATGAGAGATCATAATGAGAGAAAGAAAACGACACTAAAAATTTAACGTGGTTCGGAAAATCGTCTACGTCCACGGGAGGGAGATAAGAAATTTCCACTACTATAGTAAGCAAATGTAGAATACAAACAAGTCTCAACCTCACTCTTCAAATACTGAATACACCATTTCTCTCAAAAATACAAACTCAAAGAAGACAACTTTCTCAATCTGTATTTAAGCACCTCACTGAAACAGTGCTTGAATACATTAATTTAAACGTGTTAATCGTGTCAACTCGATTATGATCTAAACTCATTTATAGTAAACTCAAACACACTAATTTTGTGCGAGTTTCGAGTCGTGTCGTTATCCGGATTGTCAGCCCTAGCTCTAACTTATGTTGCTAAGCTATTCCACATGAATGATCTCAAACAAAAGTGCTCCATTTTTGTAATCATAATGATTATTATATATAATCATTGTCTGCCAACAAACATCCACTTACCGATTAATCACTTTATATGGTAATAATTGATGCCACATTGTCAACATATTTTCTTTAGAAATTTATTGTTGAAAATCATGAAGCCATGTTGTAATCTAAAACTTGGTATATTGTTTCTTGGCCAACATGATTTTCTGAAGTGATTATAGAGCTTATTCAAGGGAAGTTTATAAAATGTATGATATAGAAAACCAAAACTCGATACATATTCTTTTATTTAGGATCCAATGTAGTATTGAAAAGATTCATGAATATACATAAAAATCCGTCGATAAAATAAATATATATATATGTCTTAATATTTTTAAAATTTCATTTTAGCCAACCCATCCAATCAAAGGATTCATTCGAACAAATGTATCAATCTATAAAAAAAAAATTCATTTTAACCAACCATCCAATCAAAGGATTTATATATTCGAACAAATGTATCAATCTTCTTTATAGCATTATCTATTAGAAATGAATTTTTTAACATTTAAATCTTACAAAGAAGAAGGGTTAGTAACAGAACTGCTTAGTCCCTTGAACTTATTCCTTTAAATTACATTTCTGCACAAATGTAGAACTAAAACTTGAAACACTTCTATACACTTGCAAAAAGGGTTAAAAATGCAAAACATGAACTGCAATTATTGACAAATTTATAAAAGAAAAAGGTGAATTGCCATACATCATCCAAATCAATCCATATAATTAATTAATTTAAGAATCCTTTATATTATATTAACATTCAAGACTTCAAGTTTCCCTCTTTGTTTTTTTGTTTTTTCTGTTTTTTTTTTTTTTTGGTGCCTTCTAATACATGCCACCTTTTTAATTATCAACTCCACTCGTATGTTTCTCAAACATTAACTTTAAAGTGTTCTTTATTCTCTTCTAATTTAGAATCTTAATCTTAATTAATCAGCATAAAGAAATATGATTCTTTGAGCTAGCTAGCTAGCTAGCTCCCTCCGACAATCATGGCAAGCATTCACATTACGGTGCATAAATTAATATGTGCAATTGAACAGCTTGGCTTCTTCTCTTCATCTTCGTCTTTTTTTTTTTCTCCTTTTTCTCTTTTGGGACAAAAATTTTAACAGCTTGGCTAAAATCACTATCTTTTTGTATAATATTTCTTTCAACAATATTAAAAATTGTTAGAACATGTATCTCCACTCACAAGTTGAATCATGTCATTATCTTTAATTAGGGCTAATTTCCTCATATGACATGGCCACTTCTTTGCCTTTTTTCTTTTTAATACACTCCAATTACCAAAATTAATCATTTATAGAAACCCTTATTAGTGTCTAGCTTCCTTGAATTTCTTTAATTTAGCAACTCAACTTCAAAATATTTTGGATTTATATATATCTATATATATATATATATATATGTGTGTGTGACACGGTTTTAGGGAACATGCATTAGCCAAAAGGTGGAAACCCAACCTTTCGCTTTTTTTAAGAATAGCCCAATAATATACAAGAAATATGCACGTCAAAATTTTAAAGTAGGATTGCATGTGACACACATTATAGATGATCAAGTAGATACTAACAAGAAGTTTCTTTTTTTTCCCCTTCAGTTTTTCTTTTCCTTTCTCTTTTCTTACCTTTTTCGTGTCATGTGATTAAACCCTACAGCTCACCAGGTCGATAAAAAGACGTAGTACGCTCTTTATACTGGGGAAAAACAATTTTAAAAAATAAAAAATAAAACTCTATATTGTCACAAGAATTCTACAGTAAAAGAGGGCTTATCGTAAATAATAGTTAATTAGTTAATTATAGAGAATAAGGGAAAAAACTAGAAATATAAAAAATATATATTATTTATCTCATTCTATTAAAAGACTTACGGTTATTATCCAACTAACAAAGACAAAATGAAAGGCAATAATGATGTCTATTTATTTAAAATGTTATAAAAATACGTGAAAATTACAGAGTTTATTTTTAATTATGATTTTTACCCGTTATTCTTGACTAATACTTATTTGATTAAAAATATTATTAATCAATAATAAGAGATAAAAATTTTGACACACCCTATAAATAATAAATTTGCACAAAATCATGACAAGTCATGAACTATTCTGTAACAGAGAAATCGAACTTCAAACCGGAATTGTAGATTCACAAACATCTCTGCTAGTTATAAGTTTAAAAAAAAATTATAAAAAATCTATCTAGTTCTTAAAAGGGGCCCTTCGAAAATCGTCCTTTTTTACTTTAGGCTACTTTCATTTTTTTGAGTAATACTTTATGGTACTTAAACAATTGCCAAAATTGTGGTGATATACAATAATAATATATAAATATCATATCGTTATCAGTTGTTTTGGAAAAGCGACCTCTTATGGGGAGTCCATTATAGAGTACTCCAAAAGAAGTTCCAAGAGAGAATTTTGGTTGTTTTACTTTGTAACAAATAATAAAAATATATATACACAAATTATCAGTTGTATTGGACAAAAATGAAACCCCAAATTGCAGTAGTGTATTCCGGTGCTGTCTTATCTCCAAAACATTGTTTTTTCTTTTTTTTTGTTGTTGAAGGTTTATTTCATACTTTATCATATACAATTGTCAGAGCCTCGGATCAGAGGTTTATTGCCTTTCTATACTTATCCTCAAGCCTCTTCCTAATTAATGATCAGTTTCTTTTGTATTAATTTTCTACTTAGGAAAATATTCTCCCCAGTTTTCTAAAAACGAAATAATCAGTATCTTATCAAAATTAAGACAATAAACAATAATCATGTACAAATACCTTCCCCTCAAAACCAATATTCTAGATAGAAAAATTTATGGTATGTTTATTTTTTTTCAATTTTGTTTATTATTATTATTATTATTATTATTATTATTATGTTTTTTGACATATATTTTGAGTTAGGATGAATTTCGCACCTCTATAGTTTTTTTCTTTTTTTGTGAAATTTATAGTTGATGAAAGCAATTATAGTTTTTCTATAATATGCTTTGCTTTATGGTTAAGATAGCAAAAATTACATCACTTGAACATGACGAGAAAAAAAAAATGACACTTCCATTATAAAACAAAATAGTACATAGACACTTCATGAATTCAAAAGATATAATAAAATAAAATACAACAAAATATCTCTTAATTACGCTCTTTTATTTTTTTTTTTTTCCGTTTAGAGTTGAGTGGTTCAAACGGCCTAAAATCTTCCGAAAACACGTGACACGGCTAGTTAGTGGCCACAGTAGACGAGAATTGTCAAGTTAGTTAATTGAAAGGAAATAATAAAGGCTAAAGAAAGAAAGAAAGAATAGACAGAGGAGAGGGTCAAGAAGGACGTAACGTGAAAAGTGAATGCAGTCATATTCAGTGCTTGTCGTCACTGAGGGCCCCCTCCCTCTCTAAGGGGTTGCGTCGGCCCAACCTGAGTTGACCCCCCACCTCACGTGCATAAATACAAAACGACATTTTTAAAATGTATATATACACACACATCTTATTCTTATTAATGGATTGATGTAGCGGGAAGAATATTTTCTTTTTTTCTTTTAAAATCTCCCTCATAATTCGATACTCCTTAACCTGACTAATTTGATGGGTAATCGTGATAGGTAAAGTGTAAGGTTTTGACACTTCTATTATATATATATATATATATATTTATTTATTTATTTATTTATTTATTAGGCTGCATTGGATTGCCCCACCAATGGAAGCACTCACTCTGGTCATTGGGTCCCAATAATTGAATCATCCAAACAGAGCCTTGGAATTAATCCTACGTCTCAAAGCAAAGAAAGGAAAGAAAGAGAGAAAATGTCGAAATCAGCTCACGAACCGGATTTCCAGTTTGATTTTGTGTACTTTTTCCACTGCACGTGAATGGGAACCCCCCATAATGATGTGTAGTGGTTATGAGTCTAAAGTCTCAAACCAATTTCATGTTACCAAGTTCATAGAATATTATGAAAA